AATGAATGAATGAATGAATGAATGAATGAATGAAAGAAAATGCTAAAAAAAAGTAGTATGTTCAGAATCTTTCTAATTTACTCAGAGTCAGAGTCATCAGAAATGAGTATTTAATTTATCAAGTGTCCTTTGTAAATAGTTTGTAATGAAAATGAGAAAGTTAACCTTAGATAAGGTGCTTTTTCTCCATTATACTGTATGAGATAAGATATATTACAGAACAAAGAGAGCAATTTTCTTTTTGTAATGGAGGAATTATCTTCGTATTTAAAACATATAATTAATTCCCTGCCCATGTTTACTTGGCTATCTTAGGAAACATTTTTTTCAGCCAAGTATTCTTATACAGTCTAGCTCTGCTCTGATTCATTGGTGCATTGGTGAATCAGTGAGTTAAGTAGTGAAGAGAGTAGTCCACAGTGGTGAATCACCTGGTGGGAAGTGAATGGCGAGAAGGAAGAGAGGCAAAGAACAAGTCTTGAAATGATGAAAATATGGAAGACCACAGTATAACACATGGAAAGATGGTGGGATAGCTCTTCTTAAAATAATTGATTGTCCAAACCCATATGCTTTTATAAACGGGCTGTTAATAAGTAGCTGGCCCAGTCCCTTATGCCTATGAGTCTGTAGTTTATAATCTTGTTGGTCTGTGAGTTTGAGTTGTTTAGGAGGGAAGAGGAATAGCTGCGTCAGTCTAGTAGCTGTGATTCTTCAGTTTGTTTACAAGTCTTTGTTGACTGCGTTGAATAAAATTCTTGAATACTGCTGCAGTATATTGGGAATTAAGATCTATAGGCATGTGGTTCCTGTGGCACCTAAAAAAAATGTGTCCCAAATCCTGTCTTCAGCTTTGCATGCCAAATGCTTCTGTGGTAAGTATTTTTCTGCTTCATCCAGACCTCAATTCCATCACCACCAGTTTTCTCTTGTCTTTGTTTCCCTTCCAAGTTGCATTATCATAAGTATATTTATTTCTGATAACCCATAAGGATGTTGGACCTAGAAATGTTAGTAATTATCCTCTCAGTTCGATTTCATTATTTACTCATTGAGTGAAAACAGCAAAGGATTGAGTAGGTATTTCTCCAAAGAATCTGTGCTAATGGTCAATATGCATAGGAAAAGATGTGTAATATCATGCATGCATCATCAGAGAAAAGCAAATTAAACCACAATGAGATAGCACTTCGCACCCACTAGGATGGCTATCATTAAAAAGAAAAGAGAGAAAAGAAAAAAAGAAAAGAACAAGTGTTAGTGAAGATTGGAACCTTCATACATGCTGGTGAAAATGTAAAATTGTGCAACTGCTTTGGAAAACAGTCTGGCAGTTTGTCTAAAGTTAAACATATGACCCAGCTATTCCACTCCTGCTGATGGACCCAAAAATAATGAAAACACAGAAACATGTATGTGAATGTTCATAACAGCTTTTTTCATAATGGTCAAACAAGTGGAAATGGTTCATTGATGTATGGATAAATAAACTGATCAACAGATGTATGGATAAATAAAATCTTGTGTGTATCTGTATAATGGCATATTATTTATCAGTAGAAAGGAATGAAATACATATTTTCCAGCGTGGAAGAACCTCCAAAACATCAAGTGAAAGAAGCTAGTTACAAAACCCACATATTAATATGATTCCATTTATATGAATTACCCAGGATAGACAAATCTACAGAAAAAGAAAGTAAAGTTAGTGGTTGCCAGTAGGTAGTTTTAAGGAATGAGCAAAATGGGGAATGGCTGCTGATGTATATGGGGTTTGTTTTGGAGTGATGAAAGTGGTCTTGTGGTAATAGTTGCACAACTGTGAATATACTAAAAATTACTGAATTGTAAGGTTTAAATTGGTGAATTTTTTGGTATGTGAATTATATCTCAAGCCAGGTGCTTTTTGTACAGATTACTTTTTAAACTTCAGAACCTGAAATAGCAAACGTTCATCATCAGATTATTAAGAATAGTGGGTAACTCTATGAAACCTAGAAATCGTGTAATAGGAAAATAACAGTGTAAATCCAGAAGATGGGATAAGAAATAGTTAATGTTGAAGAAGAAACAAGATAGTCTTATGTAGCATGGAATTTTATATTTTTGTCATGGGATGTACTTGTGTATGGGTATTGTGTATAGCATAAAGGCTGGAATATAATGTCAAAAATTTTCAAAAGTTGCTGTCACAGAGTGGGGAGGTTGGAGATATTTTCATTTGTCTTACTGTGTATCTGCATTTCCAATGTATTTTCTTTTACCCTCACATCTGCTACTTATTGTTTAATACTTCTTCATAAGTGTTGTGGTGGAACACGTGGTATCATGGATCCTTGTGAAATGCCTATGAGACAAAGCCATCACCAGTGTATTGACCTATCTTCTTTTCATGCCTCTGGAAGAGTAAAAAATGAACTTCAATATCTTTGCAGGTTATCAATGCTGCATTGGCTTTAGCAGCAAAACCACAGAGTAAACTGGCCCAAGAGAACATGGATCTTTTTAAAGAACAGTGGGAAAAACAAGTCCGTGTTCTCACAGATGCTGTCGATGACATTACTTCCATTGATGACTTCTTGGCTGTCTCAGGTAATGAGCTGGTTCCCCAGAGAAGCCTGTGAGAATGTGCATAATAACTTCTAAGTCACAGTAATGGACAATCAAAACACCCCCAAGTCTGGGCAAGTAAATTATTCTAGCAATAATATTGTGCTGGTTTTGATTTTAATTAAAAAAAAAAACAACAACAAACTACCACTGGCTCCTAAACAGTGGGAGGTGGGTTGGAGTTGTTTCCCTTGTGGTGGGGCTGGTCTAGATCTTAGAAGCATGAATTTGAAAGCTGGCTGGCAGTTTTCTCCCATTTGTATAGAGTAATATTTTGCATCTGTTGACCTGTACAGCACCGTGACCATCCACCTCTCTTGAAGCTATTGTATTTAGAAAAAACATTGACCTGTGTCCTGTGAGAGGCTGTGGTTATTTGTTGTAAGCCTGTGAAACTTTAGAGGAGAGGTTTCCAGCACCATCATCTTTAGTTCATTTTTTAAAATAAATTTTCCCCCTTCCTGGAAAGCTTCTTCCTTTCTCCCTCGGAAATGATCATAGTTTAACTGCCTACTTTTTAAAAGACTCTGTCTGCATGATGCACGGATAGAAAACAGAGAGGAAATATTTAAGTGCCATTTAATTATGAACTTGCAAAAAGTAAATCTGGGTAATTCACCTCACAAAAACAGTTGATTTCATTATATAAACATAAACTGGTAATGACATAGTAAATTGCATTCATATAGAAAATGTCTGTCAACTGCAATTCACTGTTTATCACACAGATAAATTTCAATCCATCTCCTTCACATTGAGCAAGTATAAATGCATTCTTCATTTAACAGGGCCTCTGCTGCCCTTAGCTACATGCTTGCTCTCTGGAGGTGCCAGGCCTCCTGAGGCCAGTGGCTGTGGGCAGACTCAGCGGCTGGGTACTTGTAGGGCTAAAACTACCTGTCACCCTAGGGAACCACAGGCTGGAATGTGGGAGATGTGAGTGTCAATGGAGCTTGAAAGAGAAGTGGGGCTTAAGTACATGCACAGCGCAGTCCTCCAGCAATGACCTATATATAAGGTTACAGTGTGTTCTGCATACCAATGTCCTCCTGTCTCTGCCTGTTCTCCTTGGGGTTGGTAGCTTTGGCTGTACTTGAGAGAGTGGGGAACAGGCAATCCATAAACTGCAAAAAGAGGGGATAAACCATGCTGCTGCAGGACTGCCAAATTGCAGGTGCCGGTACTTTAAAATGAAAACCCCATTTGCAAGCACATCTTTGCTGGTGCCAAAAATGCAGCAATGGCTTTTTTGGGAAATCTTGGCCTTCTGTTGTTTTTCCCAATGAAGTACTGAGTTATTCTTTTTCATAGGTTTAGAGAAAAACATTCCACCTTCACAGCACACTTTTAAGCAAACAAATTCTGAAACCTAAATGTAAAGCCCCCCTCCGGAGATAGATACTACATTCCTAAACTTACTTCTTGTGATGAGGTTGGGTATATATCTCACGCTTGGTCTCAAGGGATTTTCATTCCTTCTTACAGCAAAATAAAATGTAATAGAATCAAATGTCCCTCATGCAACATTCTTCAAATTGGAGAACAAAGAGGCTTCTGCAGTAGCATTTAGTGGCATCCAGGCAGTATCTTTAGGGTATATGACATAAAACAGAAGAATGGTAAAGAGAAATTAAATTCTTTAACAGATATGCTTTTATCTGGTGAGCATGTTCAATTTTTATGCAAATGTGGGAAAGTATAAGGGCTGACTTGATGGAAAGGAGTCTAGACCGTTGCTATTTAGGAAATAAAAATACAGAACAGTTCTCTGAGTCAGGAAGTGTTGGTGTTTTCAGAGTATGTGAATTCAGAGGTCTACAGGTTTTGTCACAGGCTTGCTTAGTATCAAATGATTAATATTCATAATTCTTCTGTGCTTTATAGGGGCATGGGATGAAGGGGAGGATACAAGCAGATTTCTGTGCAGAGTTCTCCTCAACTGACTAGTTAGTTGTTGGCATTCACACTCTTTTATACCTTCACACACCCACCTCACCCATGGAAATTTGAGCATCTTTTCATGGTAGGGTGGGGAACTAGAGATGTCTAACCATCTCACCTGACACAGACTTGCTAGGGAAGTGACTGGCTGTCATCACAAGGAACCCCACTTTGAACTAGGCAGGCCCCTACTGGTCTCCAGTCCTTAGCCCTTGTACAGTTCACAGCATCTCTAATTGTGCACCGTGGATTGGAGAGGATGTGTCAGTCTGCAGCATTCATGGGTAGTCTTTAGACAGTAAGTCGTGTCTTGTCCTCATCCTGATCTTCCCCCTCTGCCAGTTTCTCCTTGCCCTCTGGCATGCCGGTGCTTCAGTAGTCCTGTCTGTGAAGTAGGCATGGCTTTGAGTAGATGAGCTGCCAGGCAAGTGCCCAGCACAGAGTCTAGCTTTGGGTGGTGGGTTTCATAAATCTATACTAAATGCAAAGTAAGGATGGTGCTTGACTCCTTGGAGTGGTTGTTTTCTACTGTATTCTGGTACCTCTGGCAGTGTGATAGTTTTTAAGGAATATTTCCAATAAGGATTTTCTACCATGAAATCCTTCTTGGAACTCATGGGGCCTAGAAATTTCCTGAAGCCTGCCCACTAGCCAAGAACCCCTTTAAGGGAAAGTTATTTAGGGAATAGGACTGAGAGGACTTTTTGTTGCTTTATCTCTATTGTTGCTGGATATTCTGTCCTGTTGGTTCCAGAAGTTCCCTCATACCTGCCACAAGTTCTATCTAAATTTGTGACTCAAAAACTAATGGTAACTTTGTGTATAATTTGGTGAAGCCCCCAAACATTTCATGAGGCTGCAGGGCAAGGGAAACTTGACAAAACTCTGTGTTACAATCAAATCGGAGACCATGGCATTTGAAAGTAGGGGGACATGCATGCCATCCCAGGGAAGAGGGAGTGGAGCTCCTTTTCACCAAGCTCTTTTTCACAATGTGCCTTGTAAATATTGGAGATGTTAAGATGCTAGAGCGCATTCAGCAGACCACAAGTATATTTATATTGACTGATCCCTTAAGGACAGGAGTTTGAAATTTATCAAAGTGATAAAGACTGTTTGAATTTCATTTGAATTGTATTTGATAAACGTTTTCCATGGAAGTGCAATTTACTTTCTTGTGCATTTATTCTGCTTACGTGTGGAAGCTTTAGTGTCTTCTTTTTTTTCTTTTAATTCAAGTGTTTGGTTAGAGTGGTTCCAATTGGGTTTATTACATTTTTTTACCACATGCTCTTGGAAACAAATAGTATATTGCATTAGATACATTAGGGCAACACGTAAGAGTGGTAATTTGTACTTTTTTCTTCTTCATTAAGGGTCACTGTGCCCAATTTGGTCTTATTGGAAGGCCATTAAATAAAAGGATTACAATACCTAATTTTTTGTTTTTGTGTTGAAGAGCAAAAAAAACTTTGAAGATAAGGTAGTGAAGATAGGTTTGATTTCTGACTCCCCTGCCCACTAGCTATGTGACCTTAGAGAAGTCCCTGCCCTGGCTTGCTCGTTATTTAATGGTGATTTTTTTTTTTTTTAATGGCTACTATGTAAAGAGTTAAATGTCAAGCCCTCAGTATTTCCTGTTATAGATTAAGTCCTCTATATAAAGTATTAATATTATCATTTCATATGTGTGCATAAGGTTAATACCAATAAAGACATCCAGAACAAAGGGTACACAGAATGGGCCCTGTTACATATCATGAATTGAAGTATGAGTTGATGCAGCATTCTGGAGAATTCCAGTTGGCTTGGTTCCTGGAGGCCAATTAGGCACTGCATATCTACTTTAAACATATATATGCCTTTTGAGTTAGTAATCCTATTGCTAGAAATTTTTCTCAGGGATATGTACACAAATGTTTGCCAAAATACCTGTACAAAGTTGTTCATGTCAACCAAAATGTTGAAGAGAAGACTGGATAAGTAAATTATGGCCCCTCCTTTGCAGCCATTAACATGAATGAGGCAAATGGGTGGATGCAGGCCTAGAAAGGTTTTCAAATGAAAAACATAATAGTGTCCATAATATGGTCCCTTGTTAGATAGACTGTTGTATATGTGACTTTTTTTCCTGTTAGAGGCACCTCCCAGTGATGACTGTTTAACAATCGAGAGTCTTTAACGGGGTATAGATTGGTGTGTCTACCCATAAGGGACCCATGCTGAGGTTCCTTGGAAATTCAATTAAAGCTGAAGTAACTTAAGATTTTAGTTAGCCTGGGTACCTCCAAGCCTCTCGTGTTTGTGCACATTCACTGGAACCTCGCTTCTCCCTTAAGGCTCAAGTGCAGATAACAGGATTGATGTTGTATCCTGGGTATGTGGTAGCCTCAGCTGGATGGGGCTTTCCTAGAGACAGCTGTTCAGTGATGGTAGACACTATTACTTTAGTCAGCTTCCTAAAATAGAAGACTTCCTTTGTTGCTAAAGAATAGCAAGCCCTTCCCTGGTTTAGGTTCACTGGAAGAAAGCCAGTGTGAATTCAAGAAAGTCTAAATTGATTTTTAAAAACATAGGTGTCTAGATGAAGGTTAACAAATCACTGGTGAAAGTTTGGACTGTTTTGCTTAATGAACAAAAAAGAATGTCATGCTTCATTGATTCTAAGATGGGCTTTCTCCCCCATACTAACAATCCTGAAACAAGGATGAGTTTTAAAATCAATGATACAAGAAAACATTGGTTCATAGTTTAGTTAGTGACACTTTTTCTTTCCCTTCCTGCTGCTTTCCTTTCCTTAAACAAAATACAAGTGTAAAATGTTTTAGGTTCAGCAAAAGCAGCAGTTCTTTTTTTTTTTTTAAATGTTTGTTTATATTTGACACAGAGAGAGAGAGACAGAGCATGAGTTGGGGAGGGGCAGAGAGAGAGGGAGACACAGAATCCGAAGCAGGTCCAGGCTCTGAGCTGTCAGCACAGACCCTGACGTGGGGCTTGAACTCACAGACCGCGAGATCATGACCTGAGCCAAAGTTGGACGCTCAACCGACTGAGCCACCCAGGCACCCCTATAAGCAGCAGTTCTTAACCCACAGGTTGGTATGGTGTGCAGGCCCAGTACCACTGTGTTTAGTTTAATTATATAGAAAGTTTGTATATAAAAGATGCTTCCAGTGGGCTCCCCATCCATTCATTCTTATGAATGGTTCAAATAAATATCCTTCCTAAAATTTGTTTATGTAAAAAGTTTAATAGGTTTTCTCTGTTGATAGTACAATGATAGAAACCCTACAGGTCCCCACTTCTTTTTGAATTAGTAGACACAAAATTAGGGTTTTCTTTGCTTTACCGTGGTAATTCATTTTTCTTTTCTGTAATAGGAATTCACACTAGTATTCTGGCTTTCACTGAAAATAATTCATTTAAAGAAAAGAAAGAAAAACTTTTAGAGCAATTTTAAGTTCACAGCATAATTTAAGAGAAGCGTACAGAGATTTTCCATCAGTCTGTAAACCCACACGTGCACAGCCTCATCAGCATGTCCCATCATAGTGGCACACTTGTTACAACTGATGATGTATCCATCATAATAGTGTCATGTAAAGTATTCACTGCTCTAAAAATCCTATATGTTCTGTCTGTTCTTCCTACCCCCTCCAACTCCTGATATTTTTACTACCTCCATAGTTTTGCCTTTTCCAGAATGTCCTATAGTTGGAATAATACAGTATGTAGCCTTTTCAGATTGTCTTCTTTCATTTAGTAATATGTATACAATGTCTTTTCATGGTTTGATAGCTCATTGCTTTTTAGTGCTGAATAAAATTCCATGGTCTGGATTTACCTCATTTTATCCATTCACGTACTGAAGGACACCTTGGTGGTTTCCAAGTTTTGGCAGTTATGAACAAAGCTGTTGTAAACATCTGTGTGCATGTTTTTATGTGGACTTAGGTTTTCAACTCCTTTGGATAAATACCAAAGGAGTGTGATTGCTGGATCATATGGTAAGGGTGCATTTAGTTTTATAGGAAACATGTTTTCACCAACTCTCTTTTTAATTCTTTCACATGGTTATTTCTTTCACATTGTGATTGTTTTCATTTTATGCCACTGTACCTTTAGTCTCGGAACAGAGACCCTTACAGAGTTCCTGTCTCTAGTCTCTTGGGAATTACAAAGGCAGTGCATTGTGGTATACTGTTCTTTGATAGATCTACTAAGTACCACTTGCCTCTGCCTCCATTGGACATGAGAGGAAATAGCACCATGACCACTATCTTAGTTTTAAGTATCTTAAGAGGTCAAGCTTATTGTTCCCTCCCTTCCAGATATTGTCACATATAACTTGACTGAGTATGTTAGCAGAGGCTGTGAGGGAAGGGTAATGGCTTTTGGAAGTCGATTAAATCAGGAAGCAGTCCAGAATAATGACATGTCGATGCATAAGGTGTCCAGGACTGGCAAAGAAATGACCAGATATGTTTCTTAGATTACTTTTGCCCTAATTGTTCTAGCTCTGCCAGAAGAACTAGGGCCATTAGTCTTTCACCTATCCTCTGTGAGTTCTTGCATGTCTTGAAGAAAGCTCCTTTCTGAGCTGGGAGGCAATGGCTAGATGATGACGTGGTGGCTTCCCTTTATGTCACTCTCCAACCAACTTCACAGAGTCTGAGGAGCCCTGTCATTTGGGCCATATCCTCGTGGTCCCTTCAGTTCTGGGTGAGAACATCCCCTTTTACCATTCTGGGTTAGCCCTTACCCATTGACCTCATCCATTTTAATGGCTGTATAGTACCCATAATATATTACCTACTGTCCTTAGACATTTTGGTTGCTTTCACTTTGCTTTTATTATAGATGAAGCTAAAGCTAACTCAGAGGTTCCCAGTATCCAGTGTCAAGAATTTTGCTTTGAGGAAAAATAGGTTTGGTGGGTCCTCAAAATGTCAGCTTAACAGGATTCAAGGGTTTTTGTAAATATCACAGCAAGGTACCCCCTGCACCCATGAGAGGGTTACTAAATGTTTTGCTTTAGATGGGCTTCCTCTATGCCCTCCAGAGGAGGCTTCAGTCTCCTTTCCAGCACCTTCTATCCCAGGGCTGTCCTGGCTTCTTGGGAGATGGTCTGAATACATTGGCATCTACTGAGGGAGGGGCAAGAGAATGGAAGGAATGAGACTTATCGTGAACCCCTCCCTCTGTTTTAGACTTTGTTTTGGACATTAGGTCAGTGAAATTATTTAAAGAGAAGTTAGTAGATTTCTATAATCTGAATTTTCTGCCTGGTTTGCAAAACACCTGTGCCTTAAAAATCTCAGTTGACCTCTGTCTCTCCCTCTTTCTATAAACCTGGAATGCAGATTGTTATTCTTGGAGGTGATTACAGGTTGAGTTTCTGTGGGACAGTTAATCCAGCGGTTAGTCTGGTCTGTTCAGTGAAATGATACATGAAACGCTTTGGCACTGCAGCTGGCACAAAATGAGCACTCAGTGAACAATAGGTGCCAACTTAAAATTTTCCCCTTCTAGTGGAATGCCTTCTCCCTCATTCAGCCTTTTGTTTGTTCTTCAGAGAATCACATTTTGGAAGATGTGAACAAATGTGTCATTGCTCTCCAAGAGAAAGATGTGGATGGGCTGGACCGCACAGCTGGTGCGATTCGAGGCCGGGCTGCTAGGGTCATCCATGTAGTCACCTCAGAGATGGACAACTATGAGCCAGGGGTCTACACAGAGAAGGTCCTGGAAGCCACCAAGCTGCTCTCCAACACAGGTTCGGGGACTTCCTCCCTTCCAGTGCTCCCCACACACAGATGGGTGGGCTGGGCCATCCTGGGAGTTCAGGCCCTGTGGTTAGGAAGGATGAGATCAGGATGTAGATCAGGTCTTCACACAACATGTCTGGGTTGGACATCAGACCTTGAGAAGTTGATCAACTAAATTAAGGCCTTGAAAACCCCTTTCCTTCATGTGTCCCACAGCTAATGATGGGAATAATTCTGAACACAATATTTAAGGTGAATTTTTGAGTAAAGTCTTTTGTTAGTAGATAAATACCAAATTAAGGAGAGTCCTAGTTTTAAGCGAGGCCTCCCGTTAATCTCACTTCAGTTGCTCACCCATCCAAATCCTGTATTGCAAAATCTGGTCAGAGACAAAGATGATTTGAGTCTTGGTAAAATATAGCATTTAATTTATTTCAACTGTAAATACTCCTCACATAGGTAGAGGCAGATGCTCTTCATCATATACCTCACCTCCTCCTGTCTGACTGAGGGATTGAGGGAGGGCTGGTAGAATGATCATGTCTGCTGGCCTAGCAGGATCTGCCCTGCCTCTTTCTCCACAGTCATGCCACGTTTTACTGAGCAAGTAGAGGCAGCTGTGGAAGCCCTCAGCTCGGACCCTGCCCAGCCCATGGATGAGAATGAGTTTATTGATGCCTCCCGCCTAGTGTACGATGGCATCCGGGACATCAGGAAAGCGGTGTTGATGATAAGGGTGAGTAACTGCGTTTCAGACATTTTAACAGCTTCTTTCTTATCATTTGCTAAACTTGAGCAATGCATCATTCTGGAACTCAGCAGATGCGGTGGCAGTATATTAAAACCATGAATCTAAAAGCTGTTAGAATGAGATATATTTAATTATGTTGTCTAAAATGACTTTTACTCGCAAGTTAGAGCCCAAACTTGGGCCAAGAAGGGGAGCTAGTGTGAACTGGCTTTGATGATTTAGTTTCAGGCAAACAGCTACCACACATAGGAGGCTTCTGGTAAGTTAGAGGGATACTAAACAGAATAAAGGCTTTTCGGTTATTTGCAGAGAACGGAGTATTTCTTTAATGCAAGTTGAAGTTACTGTTCACATAGAATACGTTCTCTCTCCTCGAAGGGGTGGCAGGGAGGCAGGAGGCTACTGGGGCCCCAGTGTGTTGAGACTAAGGAGGAGTGCCTGTGGCAGCCCCTTGAGAAACTACTAACCCCTCTGTAATACAGCCCAGGGGCTGGTGCCAGGTCTCACAGCTATCTTTCCCTCGCGATTGATCCCTCACATGCTGTTAGGAGTATGAACGTATTGCTCTGGAAGCTGAGAGCAGGGAGAATTCTCACCAGGCCACCTGGGGGTCCCCCAGGCCTGGGCCGGGCCCTCCTCTAGCTGCCCAGCCTGCCTGCTGCATACATGGCTATTGTGCCGTGTTGTCAGTGTAGTGGGGTCAGGGGAGTGTCATTTACATGGTTTGCTTGTCCAGCCCTTCAAGCTAGGCAGGGATTCTGTCCCATTTTTTTTATCCTCTCAGCTTGGCATCCTGTAGAACCTAGTCAGACCATCAGCTGGAAACAGAGGCCATTTCTAAGGCAGTTGCATCAGGCTGGACCTAGTTCGTATGCAGTGTAGAAATACTTGGGCAAGACTTATACCTCTGGGTAAGGAGGAAAGATAAATGTTCTTGGATTTCCTGGTTGGCTGCTGGCTGTTCCTACAGGTCCCAGGTCCCCTGGACGTGTTGGAGGTTGGGGGCAGGGAATTGGTTGTTCTTGCTTTCTCCATCCCTTCATTCCTGTGCTCAAGAAGAATCCTGGCCTGGTTGAATAACAGGTTAAACCCAGCAGCTCTGTCTCAGTGCTGTGAAGGGATCCCAGGTCACATAAACCACTAGTAATGAACACAGCCCTATTATTCCAGAGCTCTTTTCCATACTGACAGACAGCTAGAAATAAAAAGAACATTAATGATAAAAAAGAGTCATTGGGTGTCTGAGGTTAATGCTTTTGGGGCTTAAAGTGTGACAAAAACTGTGTACATGCCAGGAAATGCATGCAGATCCTAGAGTCCTGTTGTGGGAGAGCAGTCCTTAGAGCAGGCAGGCCTCATAGACTCCTCTTCTAGAGCTGTGTCTGTGAACAGGTGCCTCCTCTCTTATCTTCTCTTAAAACAGAGGTGCTAGTGGTTGATGGTTTTAATTAGCTATAATGTAGATAGTGTGCCCAGCACAGGGCCTGGCAGTGGGGTAGCTGTGCTGGGCACCAGGATGGCCACAGCCCTGGCAGAGGCGTACACAGCCACGTGTGCTAGAGCCAGGGCACAACTGAGGCCTGCGAGGCAGCTACACTGCAGGCCCTGGCTTACTGCTGTGCACTTGGACTCTTCCTATTTGAATTCAAGAATCATCTTTCCATCCCCCAAGCCTCTCAGTCTTGTGTCTTGTCCTCCTCCTACCTCAGCTTGCCTTCCATAGTCACACCTGGTCTTTGTCATTTCCAGTGTCCAGTGTCCTTCTCTGCAGCCCCCACTGTCCAGAATGTGACAGTCCTCTGAGTCTTCCTCACCTGTCACCCTTACCCAACCACGCCTGTCTTTGCTTTGTTCCTTTTCTAGCTTTTTGCATCTCTGGTTAGTTAGTAGACTCTCTTTTGCCCCACTCACTTCCTTATATGGCTTTGCACAATCCTATTCTCTTGAAATCCGCCATCTGCTAAGCCTGGTTGTAGAATAGGGCAGCTGCCCCTACTGTGGTCCCAGAACCAGGCAGCATTGCCCCACAACCCTAGCATCCGAGAATGTTTCAGACCTTCCTGCTCGCCTCCCCCCCTCCCATGGGGCCTGAGGCTGTTTCCTTAGGGTGTGGAGGTGGTCTGGACGTCCCGCCTGCCCCCTGCCAGGTTTCTGCCCATGTACAGCATACAGCACACTGGCATTTCTCCCATCCGTCCTCCTCCTCCTTAGTCTGCTTTGTCCTCGTCTCTTCAGCTCCTTACTAGTGGCATGTCTGGTAGCAAAGCTGTCAGCTTCTTCTCTTCTCACACAGTCCTCATTCCCTTGGGAAAAACATCCAGGGTGACTGTCCTGAGCTCCACACACAACCTTCCACTTTGCCTGCTCTCTCTGGCCACTTGATTACCTAACAAGCATCTGCTAATCTTTCACCCCAACCCTCCTCCACCCAGTCTTCATGGGTTAGTAGATGGCAACCTACCTTCCACTTGCTGAGGCCCAAACCTCGGATTTGCCCTCGATTCCTCTTTTTGTCTCAATTCCCACATCTCTACCTTCACAATAAATAGAGCATCTGAGCACTGCTCCCACTCTGGTCCTGGCCACTAGCATCTCTTACCTGGATTCATGTACCTGCCTCCCTGTTCTCATCCCTTGAAGCCTAGTTTCACTCTCCACAGAGCAGCCCAAGTGATCCTTTCAAGTTTCAGTTAGGTCATGTTATCCACTGCTCAGCACCCTCCACAGGCTGGCTGTGGCTGGCATCAGTCCTTACACTAGCCCACAAGGCCTTCTAGAATTTCATCTGCTGCTGTTCTTCTGGGGCTGTAGTTGATCCTATAACCTGAGGGCAGTGAGCTCAGTCCTTCTGCCATGGCCTCCTTGCTCATCTGATTCCCCAGGTGAGCTCCTGCCTCTGGGCCTTGGTTGTGGTGACTCCCTCCTGCCAGGACACTCCTCCCCCAGGTACCTCCCATGCTCCCTGTTCACATGTCACCTTCTTAGGAAACCTTTCCTGACCACCCATATGAAATTACAATCCTCACTGCTTTATTGATTTGTATCACTGATCGCTTTCTGATGTCTCATAAAATTCACCTTCTCATTTTGTTTATTGTCATTTCTCCCCTTAGAATATATGCAAGAGCAGGGATCTTTGTGTTAGTCATTTTGTACCTCCAAGGCCCAGAACAGTACTTGGCACACACGTACTCAGAATGAAAGAATAGAATGTATTTGGTTTTCTTGGCAAGAATAGTTCTTTGGTCTGTGATGGACTAGCCAGGGTGGAACAGAAGCAGAGATCTTATCAGGAGGCCTTCCTTGGAGAACGCTCCTTCACAGGCCATTCTAAATGGCCCAGGGTGGTGTACTGTTTCACACTGCCAAGTCAGAGAAACTCTAGGATCTTGCATTCATGTGTTCCTTCCAGCTTGCTGGTGCCTGGGGTGACTGCCGCTGTCCTTACCTCATCCCATTGAGGGAAAGGCTCAGCCTTTGCATGTGTACAAACCCAAGATAGTTTTGGCCGGGCCAGATGCTTCCTCACCCATCCTCTCTTTTGAGCCTCACAGCGAGCCCTTGGGCTGGGCTTGGATTAGGTCCTGGTGCAGATGAGGGACTCCCCTCAGTGCCCTCCTGTCACAGGCCGGCCAGCTGGGCCAAGAGCCAACCCCAGCTGTTATGCCTGCTGCCCTGTTACTGATAACTTCCAGAAGACAACATTATGTTTCAAGTCAGCAGCTAATCATCGGAGGCTGGAGGTTGTGCAAAATAAGAATTTTATTCCATAATTAAAGCAAACAGCTGGGACTGGTATTCAGGACCTTTGGTATATACTCAGACCTCACCTGCCATTTTCTTTTTGTTTTGATCAAAGTCAAACAAAAAAAAACCATAAAAATACATTGCCTATTTGTACTCCTCAAAGCAGTATCCTAAGAGAAAGCCTAGCATGAGTTAATTCACTAATTTTCTTTTTGTCATAAAATGAGAAGGTTAGAAGAATCTGCTAATGTTTGGTACTTCTCTTTTCACTACAGTACCTTTTCTACCCAAGATAATTCTCACCTTTGTGTTAGGATACAAGTGTTAGAGGAGTACATTATGTCAAATAGAGTCCTGACTCTGGTGAAAGTTGAAGCCCTAATCTCCCATAAAGAAAGCCCTAGACTCTTTGGGAATTGTTGATGTGGTACCTTCACCTGGTGATTGTTGGACCAGACACCCCACATGTGCATTAGTGAGGCCAGGGTCTTGGACAAAGAATGATTTTAACTACATCGCTGGAACATGGCACATGAAAATCCAGAATTCTGGGTGTTCATACATTGGGCCCAGAGGCTTGGAATAGCTGAAGGCCAAAGGCCCAGGGTTGTGTCTGACTTGTACTTTCTGTGTTGATGGTAGACCCCTGAGGAACTGGATGATTCTGACTTCGAGACAGAAGACTTTGATGTCAGAAGTAGGACAAGTGTCCAGACAGAAGATGATCAACTGATTGCTGGCCAGAGTGCCCGGGTAAGGGACAAGTTTGACTTGTTTTCCCTGTCCCTCTGGGAACTCGGCGTTTTTCTCTTCCAGGAAAACACTCTTGATTTTGAGAACACCATTTTCCCACTCTTTCTCTGGCAGCAGGACTCAAGTTAACCTAAGTTGTGGCACATGCTAGTCAGATATAGGTTCCTCCAGAATGTCTCCTCAGCTGGGAGCAGAGAGGAACATGGCACTGTGCCTCAGCTGTGCCCTGGGGCTTTGGTTTATGACAGAGCCCTGCATCAGGCAAGCCCTAGATCCAGTCAATGTAATGTTTGTTAAAAAGGATTGTGAAATTCGAAAAAGATTGCTGTCTTTGCCCATATCAATGCTACCATGGGTATAAACGATTTAATTATTCATGGGTTAAAAAAAAAACAACAGTGGTACATTGAAGAAAATCATTCAGAGCCATTGCATTCATTTGAGTCATTAAATCTTCAATCAATAGCATTTATGTTTTTGGGAGGATGCCAAGAAATATTTCTATGGAGTCTTTTTCCCCTCCTTAGAAATTATTTTGAACAGCGAATGCATCCTTGCTTTGGGCCCCACTCCATCATGAGCACTTGGGGAAGCTGAGTGGGGAGAAGCCCAAGGCTTAGGAGTCTGTGGACCTTGAGGTGGGCACCAGGCCTCCAGGTGCTGCTTTGATAAGGTTTAAATGCCATGTCAAGTAACTAAAAGTAGCAGCACCAGAAATGCCCAGTCAGGACCCACAAGGCAAAGGGCTCCATGCATCAGCCCCTTCTCTTAAGTCCTCTCCCCATGGCAGCAGGCAGAGGATAAAATTCTAAAGAATTAAGTTAAGCAGGTTCTGTTTCTATACAGGTGTGATCTCCAACCTTCCCTATTAGCCTTCTAATCCCTCACACTGTTTTCCTCCACACAAAAACTTAAAAGTGGGTCGGAAATTCAGGCTGCTGTAAACTTCTCAAAATAAGAAGAAATGGACCTTTAGGCAAAATGAAACCTATTAAAGTATTATCCTACCTGTGTCATAGATTGCTTGGTAGAAATATTTGTGGCTAATGCACTGTGAGAACTTCATATTCTCTTTATGTAAGAGCTTTCTGTGCTTCTGATTTCAGGCGATCATGGCTCAGCTTCCCCAGGAGCAAAAAGCAAAGATTGCAGAACAGGTGGCCAGCTTCCAGGAAGAAAAGAGCAAGCTGGATGCTGAAGTGTCCAAATGGGACGACAGTGGTAATGACATCATCGTGCTGGCCAAGCAGATGTGCATGATCATGATGGAGATGACGGACTTCACCCGGTGAGCCGTGCCCGCCCCCCACCAATTGCACGGAGGGGAGCACTAGGCTACTTGCAGAAAATCTTACTTTTCTGTTCATCTTCAGCTACATACAATGATCCTTATGCTTTTTTGTCAGAGGTAAAGGACCGCTCAAAAATACATCAGATGTGATCAGTGCCGCCAAGAAAATTGCTGAGGCGGGATCCAGGATGGATAAGCTCGGCAGAACCATTGCAGACCACGTGAGTGACAGGCTTGCTTCTTGGGTTCCTGAATTCATCACGGGACTGAGGGAGCCCAGCCAGGTCCATCCCAAGGTGGTGGTGACAAGATTTTTCTTGGAACACAGCACTCTGCTCCTAAAACTGTTCTTAACTCGTCAACTTGCTTGGTTAATACCAACATAGATTTTTAAAGGATATCTGAATTCCTCTTTGTTCTTTGCCGTGTCTTAGCAGGCAGGCAGGACCAACTTGCATTAGAGCACCTCTTTGGAGCAGATGTGTGTGTCCTGCCAGTCATTACTGTGCAATGCTATTGCTTCTCTTTTCCTGCAGACCTTCAGCCTGGGGCAAGAGCTGCTTCTGTGGATCCTCACACACTGAATGAGCCTAGATAGACTTCTGCACTGCTTGTTCTTATTTATTTATTTATTTTATTTTTATTTATTTATTTTTTTTTTAATTTACATCCAAATTAGCATATAGTGCAACAGTGATTTCAGGAGTAGATTCCTTAATGCCCCTTACCCATTTAGCCCGTCCCCCCTCCCACAACTCCTCTAGTAACCCCCAGTTTGCTCTCCATATTTATGAGTCTCCTCTGTTTTGTCCCCCTCCCTATTTGTATATTATTTTTGCTTCCTTTCCCTTATGTTCATGTTTTGTCTCTTAAAGTTCTCATTTGAGTGAAGTCATAGGAATTTTGTCTTTCTCTAATTTCACTTAGCATAATAATACCCTCCAGTTCCATCCACGTAGTTGCAAATGGTAAGATTCCTTTCTTTTTGATTGCCGAGTTATATTCCATTGTATATATATATACCACATCTTCTTTATCCATTCACCCATTGATGGACATTTAGGCTCTTTCCATACTTTGGCTATTGTTGAAAATACTGCTGTAAACATTGGGTGCACTGCTTGTTCTTAACCACTGAGCCTTCGTCTCTTTTCCTTTGTCAGAAAATGTGGTTCCTATTTCCTCATTTACAGCACATTTCCCTGGATGCTCTAAGATTTACCAGTGGGGACCATGTTTGCACATTATAGTTTTTCTCCACAGATCCAGACCTGCCTCCCCACCCCTCATCAGCCACTTTTCCTTGAAGCATCTAGGCTATAGGATGAATGGTAGTGGTTCCTCACCACCCAAGCCAAAGATTTAGAAGCCATTTTTGACTCACCTCTTTCATGAAATCCAGGACTAAGCCCTGGTGCTTCTCCTGGCTACACTTAATTGTGACAACATCCAGTGTTTTCCTTTCTGCAACCACCAGTTCAGCCCAAACCTCCACAGCCTGTATCTGGACTGCTGTGGCCTGTCCCCACCGATGCTGCCATCCACTCCCTTCTGCACACAGCCACCAACACCATCTTTTTGTAGCATCATCTTAACGTGCAGATCAGATATGGCTCTGTGCTTCCTCAGTAGCTTCTTAGAAGAAAATGCAGAAGCTCCAGCATGGTCCATAGGCCTATTTTATACCACCTGCTGACTCTGCACTCCAGCCTCACAGGAGGGAAGCATTTGCCGTAAACACTTGAGAGAGGTGCTCTATTTCAATGTTGGGATGAAACCTCCTAAAGTCACCCTGAGCTTAGGCAGCAAGACAGGAATTGGGCTGCTCTTGAGTTTCTCTGTGACTAGTCAAGACCTCACCATTCCCAGGTACTCTTTTTCTCACTTTGGTTTACTCATCCTCCATCTTTGCCTCAAGTGAACATTTCCTTTTATCAGATGTTTATAGTTTTCATCACAGTTTTGACCACATAAAGTGCCCCTAGCAGAAGAGCTATTTGGATGGTTATTATGTAGCTCCAAGCACTCTTGTCTCCAGAACCAGGCTTTTGCTTGCTGAGGTTTTTTTCTCACCTTGAGGGGCATGGGCCCTGCAGAGAGCAGTTTAGGGCTGGATAACTCATGTCTCTTGCCCTTTACTCCAGCAAGGAGAGAGGCGTCATGTCGGTGGCACCTGGGGGTGGGATGTGTTAGAGCCTGGAACTCTCAGGGCTGAACCTGCTGCTCTTCCTTCAGTGCCCCGACTCAGCCTGCAAGCAGGACTTGCTGGCCTACCTGCAGCGTATCGCCCTCTACTGCCACCAGCTCAACATCTGCAGCAAAGTCAAGGCTGAGGTGCAGAATCTCGGTGGAGAGCTCGTTGTCTCTGGGGTAAGTTTTATCCATGGAACAAAGTGATTGTTGGTAATATGCTGGCCTTTTTCCAAAATGAAAGTGGCCTCCTGTCCGCACACACTCCTTAGCTGCCCAGCAACTGGGAAAGTGTGTTGTGGTGGAGCCCATGGTGGCAGTGCCCTGCTGAACTGCAGTGCTATTAGGCATGGTGCAGTTGGTGACAGCTGGGAGCCATTACAGGGCTGGCCTCTTGCTGGGATAAAGTATTTTTACCTTCCTTGCTGTTCTTCCCCCCAGAGAGGAATTGAACCTGTTCAAAAATGCCAAGATTATATAGATATGCTTTCTTAGACTTCCTCCACCCTTCTCACTTGAGTATTATCTCTTCCCCTTGTCTGTTCCCCATGCCACAGTTCTGGACCCCTTGTCACATTGGGCAGGGCAAAGAGGATGTCTTGCTTGACTTGCTGGGCTCCATAGATTCCCTGTAGCTTCTGCTAATCTCCTGGGATTTCATTTTCAAAGAATTACTTTGTATGTGGGGCATATTGGTGCCCCCGCGTGTGGGGAGCTTGTATCCATACTGAGAGAGGAAATGCCCTGGATCATGACTGAAAAAGCATCCTCGTCAGTGCTGGTGGTTACAGCTCTGCAATCAGTTAGAAAGAGACCATCTTCCTCCAGCTTCCTAGAGTGAATAAAGATTTGTTGAAAGGGGGGGATGGCGCCTTATGTTTTTTGATTCTACTCCCTTTACTTCCAAATGGCTGAAACCTATGTATTTTCAGGTTTTTTGGGTAAGGTCAGTAGCCACTGGGAGAGCTAATCAGGAACACGGCTATTGCCTAGGCCCCTGGTGCACACGGGGCTGAAGGTCAGACTTGTGTTCCTCACTGCCCCATCTGTGCCTCTTAGGTGGACAGCGCCATGTCCCTGATCCAGGCTGCCAAGAACTTGATGAACGCGGTAGTGCAGACGGTGAAGGCATCCTATGTGGCCTCCACCAAATACCAGAAGTCTCAGGGTATGGCTTCCCTCAACCTTCCAGCTGTTTCGTGGAAGATGAAGGCACCTGAGAAAAAGCCCTTGGTGAAGAGAGAGAAACAGGATGAGACACAAACCAAGATTAAACGGGCATCTCAGAAGAAGCATGTGAACCCTGTGCAGGCCCTCAGCGAGTTCAAAGCCATGGACAGCATCTAGGGCCACCCTGCCCAGCTGCCCCCACTCTTTGGGGCTTCTAAAGATCAGTCACGGCTCTTCACTCAAATATATTTGCTAAATAGAACACTGATGTTAGATTCCACAGAGAAATAGGCAGATTTTAAACCTGGCCAGGTGGTGAATTTTTGGCAAGGACATACTTGTGTTTAAATTGGTTAAAAATACTTTTGGAATTCAGGAACTTATTTCTAGCTATATTTTTATAAGGTTAAATAAAAATAAAAATTCCATAACCAAAGAGAAACTCACATTAACTTGTTAGTGATACTCTTGACTGAGTTCTCAGTGTGGCATTGGGGTTTGAGATGCCGTATTGGAGTCAACCTGGGTTCAGTGAGGGGGCCTCCACCAAGTCCTGGGTTCCGGGGGGGCGCAGGGAGGGGGGCTGGCTGGTATCACATGACCAGACATGTTCCAGTGTAAACTGCCTGGGCATCTTAGGCAGGTGTGCCGGGAGAAGGAACGTTCCCAGAAAGGTCTTGGAGGGACAAGCCACATGAAGCTCAGTAAAACGTAATGTATCATGAAGAAAACTGATTACTCTCTTTATGACATGAAATGAGAATTTTAATGCCTGGTTACAATTACTAATGTACTCTGCTGCAGGACATTAATAAAGTTGCTTTTTTTCAGACTAGAATGTTGTGATGCCCTAATCAGAACATGCTTTTTTTTTTTTTTCCCTTTCCTCAGCTTCAAATGCAAATTCATCATTGGGCTCACTTCTAGTAATTGCAGTGTTTCCTGCCTTGGGCTTTGCAACAGAAGCCTGACAAAATAGTGTTTGCTTAGGCAATAATTTAGACTTTACCTTATTTGTGATTACTACAGCGATTACTATAGCTACGAGGTATAATTTTACTGTCTTATTTAAATTTTATTAATCTGAATGTTTTTTACACTAACTTTTCCCAATAAAGTCCACTATGAAACCAAGTCTGAGAGGCCAAAGTTGTTTTCTTTGCCTTCCAGAGGAGTTGGGTTTTACATTAAACATCTCTTGGATTTGCCCACAGTATCTGTGGTGCTCCCAGCCCTCCTGGTATCCCTGTGCTCAGGGCAGAGTGTTACCCAACACGGGAAACTACCTGTGGCTCCAGGCTGTGAGGTGCATGGGCATGGCCTTGTAGTTTCTGTGGCAGCCCACTAGGGAAGGACTCACCCTCCTTAGGAACTCCCTTGTTCAAGCTTCAGGTGCAGGTCAAAACCTTGGAGCCATCCATGTCTGTTCTGAAATGTCCTACCAGCTTATAACTGTGGTAACAGCTGCCCTGTCCCTTCCCAGCACACAGTCCCCAAGTCCTCTTCCTCACTTCCATTCCTGTCAGCTATGTCCCCACCACTCTGGTACCGTCTATTCCACCACCAAATGCAGTGGCTCTTTGTCTCATCAATGTCACCATATAAGTGGGCCAGGTGGACGCTTCCGCCCACCCGCCCCACGCCCCTCACTTGACTTCTAGAACACCTGACTTTGGTCTTGTCCTCCTTACCGGCTCCTCCTCCTCCTCGTTGTTCAAAGTTGTGCAGTCCCAGGGCTCAGGAGCTGGGCTGCTTCTCTCTCTGGCTCTGCTTTTTCTGATCTTAACCACGCTCCTGGCTTTAAATACCAAATGCTAACTTCTCTCAGAACTTGACTCTTGAACTCTCCACTTGGATGTCTTCATCAGTATCTGAAACTTGAGCTGTCCGAATTCTTTAAAATGTAGGCGGGTCCAACGGATACTGCTTCTGTTGCTATCACCTGGTCTAAGCTGTCATCACTGTGTGAATTATTGTGTAAAAATTTCACCAAAACTTAGTAGCTAAAACAACACTCATTTCAGTTTCTGTCCAGAATCCAGGAGTAACTTAGTGGGAGGGTCTGACTTGGGGTCTCATGAAGCTGCAATGTCTGAGGGCTTGACAGACTGGGGGCTCTGCTTCTGGGCTCCTTCATGTAGCAGTTGGCAGAAGGCCTCACTCACCCCATGCCACGTGGGCCTTCCCATACAACAGCTCACTTTCTGGGGTAGCTGGCTTCCCCCAGAGGGAATGATCCAGAGAAATTGGCAGCCAGAAAAGATAATGGCAACCAGATGGAAGCTGCAGTGTTTTTTTTTTTTTTTTAAACTTGATCTCAAAAAAAGTGATAAATCATCACTTCCACTGTATTTTGTTGGTCACACAGACCGCCCCCCACCCAGATGCACTGTGACAGGGGACAGCACCCGGGGGCAAATGCCAGGAGCTGGGCTCCCACAGTCCTCTGTACCAGGACCACTGCAGTACCGTTCCCCCACCCGCAAGCTTTCCTTATCATGCTGTTTCCTCACTGCACTCCCCATGGGAGTGCACAGTAACCCCTATAAATGGGTCCCATAGTGTCATTCTCTTAGCTCAAACGTTCCACAGGCTTCATTTCCAGTAAAAGCTGAAGTCCTAAATGATGGGCATGGTCTCTTGCCTGTCTGGCCTTTAACTCTTGGCATTCACCCTTTGCGCTTGTGCTCCAGCCGCCTGAAGGGCACTTCCCCCAGAGATTTCCCTGTGCTTCCTTAGGGTCTCTTTCAGGCATCTTGTTCAAAGTTCTCTGACCTGCAACACCTCCTCTGATAATGCCATACCCTGCCCTCTCTTCACAGTGTGTGTATCTGGGTGGGAATCCATTTTGTTCCTCACTGACTTTCCAAGGCCCTAGTCACAGAGTGAGCAGCTGCCCTGGGACGGCCAGCAGGGCTGAGCCCACAAGGCACTGGCCTCCTTTTGCTCAGTCCCTCCCTGGGCTGAGTCGGGACCCACACTTGGGCCGTTCCCAAAGCTTTTGTTGCCATCATTTGGTTTCATTCCACAACTCTTCCACCCTGAGCTCTGATCTAAGTCTGTCCCCTGTTATTTCATCACCCGACCTGCTGGCTGCCCTACAGCCTCACCCCCTTCCCATCTCAGCTTCCCCCCAACCCATCCACTGCTCTCCAGCAGAGTCCAACTCCCCACTCATCATCTGAGCTGCTGCAAAGCTTCTTAAATCAGCCTACCTCAGCCCCCAACATCCATTATCCATTCTCACCTAATAGCAAAGGAATCTTCTGGAAATATCTCCTCAAGAGTCAACAAGCAGGTGTCTCTGCAGAACCTGGCAGACTGTGGCACTGTGACCCTGCCCTAAGTACCCAAACTGCCTCCTGGAGGCGGTTCCTGGGACACCTCTGTGCTCCCCTGTCACAAGCATGTCCTGGTCATCACCTTTGCCATATGGTCATCCCAGGCTTAATACCATTACTTACTTTAAAAGATGAACTTACTTCTCCTCCTCCTAAGCAGTATCTGGAATCATGTTGATGTGCTATTTTTTTTTCTAGCATACATTCAGATAACATTTTAATAAATGTTCGTGTATCACCTAAAAACTTCTTGTACCACAGTGGCGAACACCGGCCCACAGCTTTCCCCGCTCCCCCAGGCCCTGACCCGGCCCTCTCCACCATAGCCCTTGTTACATCGGTACAGGCGCTCATGGGACCACCCTGCATTCTGCTGGAGAACACAGTGTCAGTCTTGTTCAGCCTACTGTCCAGCAAAGCACCTGGCACGTGCTTGAGAAAGAGCTGCTGACCCATTCGCTGATTTAAACCTTCCAGCAGAAGATAAATGGAAGGCACAAAACAGGCAAGTGAGGAGACAACAGAAATCCTCACAGGAAATTTCCTGCCAGGAAATCCTCACAGGCCACGATCTAAAGCTGCATGGCCCAGGCTGAGGCAGAGGGAGACTTGCCCCACCGCCTCCTTGGGGGTATTCACTCCACCTTTGCCACAAAAACTGTTTCCCCTCACCATCCTGAGGCTTCTTGCTTCTCAGTCAGGGCAGACATAACCCTGGGTTACCTCCCTCAGGTAAGGTCTGACCAGCTCCCTTCCTGACGGCACCTCACCAGCCTGGCCACTGCCTGCACATAGGGCTGCAGAGCCTGGTGATCGCCCTGCGGTGCCCCTCATGGCCCCCGACAGGCACTTCGAAGGTCTCACCTAATTCTCACCACTGAACGATCACTCAACCCCGCTGAGGGAAGAGAGAAGCTGCCATGTGCTGAGTACCCCCACCCCAACCCGCCTCATCCTAACAACCTGTAAGGGTTGGTGCTGTTACCAACCCTCTGACTTTACAGCTGAGGGGACTGGGTCACAGAGTTGTGAAGCCCATCTCCCGAATCCACAAAAGTCTGCCTCTGAGCTTCAAGATCTAATACTCCTAAAGCCTCAGACGACCATCCCTTCTGGGCCACACACAAGATAGGGCAGGGGCATGATGCACCCCCGCCCCAGCTTTTCTCCCAGGAGGCTGCCTCAAGCCCCCACATCCCTGCACCCGGTCCTTGGGGCTCTTGGGGCCCCTGGCCAACTCAAGGGTTGTGCCCAACTCTCCCTTCCAGTTCCTGCCTCCCAGGATTTCCTTCCTCCATCTTTCTCATCAGCAGACAAAATCTGATAGACCCCACAGTTATTAATACAAGGACAGGGGTGCGTGGGTGGCTCAGTTTGGTTAAGTATCTAACTTCGGTTAGATACTTATGATCTCATGGCTCGTGAGTTTGAGCCGCGTGTCGGGCTCTGTGCTGACAGCTTGAAGCCTGGAGCCTGCTTCAGGTTGTCTGTCTCTCTGCCCCTCCCCTGCTCGCATTCTGTCTCTCTCTCAAATATAAAA